AATGAAATCAAAGAATTAAATGAATTAAATCAAAATCAAAATTTATTGAATGCAATTGAACAAATTGAAAAAGAAAAAAATCAATTAAAAGAAAATTTCACTAATGAAGAAGAAAAATTTTTAAATGAAATCAAAGAATTAAATGAATTAAATCAACATCAACAAGAAGAATTATTATCTATTCAAAAACAAACTAGTCATAATCAAAATAATTTAAAACAAGATATTGAATCATTACAATTACGTATAAATCATTATGAAAATACAATAACTCAATATGAAGAATTTCGTTTAAAATTTGAAGATAATTTACAAAAAATTACACAACAACGTGATAGAAATAAAATTGATTTAAAATTAACACAAGAAATATTAAAAACTAAAGAAGATGAATATAATCAATTGAAATTAAATTTTGATCAATATGAAAAACATTTACAAGATAATCAAAAACAATTTACACAATATGAAACAACAATTAATGATTTACAACAACAAATTAAACAATATGAAATACAAATTCAAGAATTGAATCAAACACTACCAGCTGTTAATCAGGTAAAGTTTTATTTTACTATAGCAAAAAATACTGAATGATTATTTTTCTAAACTTATCTTCTTCAAAGTCCTTTGGTTTTTTTTTTGAAACATATATAGGCAAAATCATTCGTTTTTTTTGGCATGTATGTTAAGTTAATCTATATATTCTGAAAAAAAATCAGTGCGAAAGACCTTAGTTCAGAGGTGTTATCAGTAAAAAAAAAACATCTCCGATTTCAAACAACATATTTGATAACTAAATAGTACATTCTATAGACAATTGCTCATGCCACAAAATCTCTATCCAACATTCTTATTATCGTATAGGAAGTTCAAAATCAATACCGAATGGTAAAAATCCTTCTTCAAAATCTCTAGAAAAATAGATTTTTTCAAGTTTGATCTTGCTGAAAAATTTCACTATAGATATTTTAACCAATAGTCAGTTGACAAAGCCAAAAATTTTACATTTGTTTATTCTAAAAACACTTATTCAGAAAAATAATCGCTGTTAACAACCGAAGCCAAATGACAAATAGGTATCTCCTATTTTGCCTGAAATGATTTATACATAGCACTGATTAGCAATATAACACCCATCTATTTTTTGATTTTTTTTGTCTACAATACTAAGTATTTAACTCAAATGTAAAGAATAATTTAAACAGCTAATGAAGTTCTTGATTAAATACATTCTAGATCAAAATTTGATAGATGGACTATACGAGAAAGGTTTCTAAAAAATGAAATACGATAGTTTTCACGTCCTCGAAGACTTTTAAGAGTATCATCTTAAAAAGTTATAGACATTACAAGGCAAAATTTATCATACTATTGCGAAAAAAGGCGATGTTTTTTTGTTTTTCTATGATGCTTATAAATTTTGAAGAAAATGACGCAAAAAATTCAGCAATCTCTCAATTGTATTCGATATTTTGTGTTCCTTAGTATAGCAATCTTAAAGCTATATAGATATATTTTTTTCAATATGTTAGTAATTCATGGTCGACTCATGCCTTTATTCTCACAGAGAATCTAGAATTTTGATTAGAATACAGTGCAAAATGAACAGTAGACGAGAAAATCAGAACTTTTTTTGTGAATAAACCTTTCTCTAATAAAACTAAATATACAATATTGTCTATTTGCCACGAGACTGTGATTCTCAACTTAAATCGAGCTAATCATCTGTTAATACTTGTATTGTATTTGTTAAAATAGAATATTGAAATTGAATATCGTGAAAAACTCATGTCCCTTGATATTAAAAAAAATCAACTTGAACAAGGTTTACAGGAAGCTACTAGAGCACTTAATTTAGCTGATTGTCATTTGCAGCAAGAAATTTCCAAAATAAAATTGAACCTTGAACAAGAATACAGTCGTCGTTATGAACAGGATCTAAAACAACATCAATATGAATTAAATCAATTACGACAAAAATTAACTAAGGAAATTGAAAATAAACGTAAACTTATTGCACCAATTAATCTAATAAATAATTCTCAACAAGATATGGAAGAAATTAAAAAAATGTATCGAACTGAAATCGATCGTTTATATCGTAAGATTAAATAAAATATATAAATTTTTGGTTTAATTTAAATTATTTTTCTCTATTAATCTTAAGATGAGAATGTTGAATTAAGTCAACATCAAGCTAAACTTATAGATACACATCAAAAACAAATGGATATAATGAAAACAAAATTAGATAATGGTTATAATCATGTTATTAATGAATTTCAACGTGAACAAACACATTTACAAACACGTTGTGATCAATTAAAACAACAATTATTAGATTCACAACAAACAATTGAACAATTAAAATTAAATTTAAATCGTTTAAAAAGAAATCATTTTAATGATTTATCAAAAATTAAAGAAATACATACTAATGAATATGATAATAAACATCAACAAGATAATCAGCAAAATCGTCTTGAAAATCTTGTTAAATTACGTGAACAACCAACTAATGCGTAAGATTATATTTCTTTTATTGTCTCTATTATATCGTATGAATGAATGAAAAAAAAAACAAATAAGCTGTAAACTAGAAATTGCTGATGTAAAGCTTGATTTCTGGTAACCGTACTATTCGTTAGGGAGACGATTTCTAAAAAACCAAACATGCTAGTTTTCGCGTCCTAGAAGACGAAATCCTCAATAAATTGAGGGATTTGCTCATCAAAAAAAGTGAAATTCATCATAGCATTGTGAAAAAAACCATTTTGTGTTTTTTTTTAGTGTAGGACTTTTAAAAATTAATTTTCGTACGGTATTTTGAGACCTGAAAACTACTACATTTGATTTGAAACTTTGGCATCAAAATACATTTGATAGAAAATTTCATTGTCTATTCAAATCAATATTTGGATTGAAGTTAAATGTTGTGAATTGTAGAAAAACCAAAATTATGTTAGTTTTATATTTTGACTAGTACTGTATGATAGAATCAGTAAAACTAAGATCTTCAAATTTTTTATTTGAATAATAATAAGAGAAGATCTTTTTGAAATTTATACATTTATTCAGTTTCTATATCCTTTGTTTTCTTCATTATTAAAGATTGAATAAAGAACGAACATTAGATGCTAAACAAGTAAATGAATATCAAGAAACTATAACTCCATTACAAGAGAAAATCAATGATATTAGAAGACCAAATATTAAAGCTACAAATGAAATCAAACTTGAACTTACAAAAGAACATTTAATACATCAAAGACATGTTATATCACGACCAACTAGTCTAGCAGAATCTGTACAAGTATTTTTATCAATTCATTTGAATACAAGAAAAAAAAACGCGATCTTTTCTATGATCATTTCAGTCCGATTCATCAATAAACGATACAAATTCAGATTCTAAAATAACTAATGAAAAATTACGAGGTAATGATCCTATAAAAAGAAAAGGTTCATCAATTGTTCAATCCAGAGTGAGGTAGACATTTTACACTAAATACTATGCTGCTA